ACATCGAAGACTGGCCCGGCACCACGGTATCAAGATCTTGAGCACCGTTGAATACAGCCCGAGGCTGACACGAACGTCTTACTCGTTCTTTTACTGGGACGGGGACTTCGAGGAAAGCACGCAGGGACCTCGAACCTATGGGAGACTCTTAACTTCGCTGCGCCAGCTGAGGCGGCTGGCTCGAGTGATGAGGTCGTGGCTGTTCGGAGACTGCAGGCCGAAGCATATTTTCCTGAGGTCTGCTTCGTCTCTTATGCGCGTGCACGCATGTGGGTGTGTCCAAAATGCGCCCTTGTGACGATGCAGTAATCCTTCGCTGGAGTACGTTCTGACGGAGCGATTGAATGTTGCGGATTTGGGATGTGCATAGGATCTGAGATTTACGGTGTAGCTTAGGATTAAAGACCTGCGCTGACGTTTTTTAAATAAGTGGAGGGCGGCCAGACCGCCAAGGCCACATAGGAACTGTAAAATGTACCCTAAACCCTAAACCCAAAACCCTAAACCCTAAACCCTAAACCCTAAACCCTTTAACCACAGGGTCACCAGTGTGAACAGACTTGGCGCCCCCGGCCCGACGGCTACGGCTACGGAGGTAGTGTAAAAGTGTCTAAAGGGTTTAGGGTTTAGGGTTTAGGGTTTAGGGTTTAGGGTTTCAGAATCCGCATGTTTTCAAATCGTCACCGCGATATTCCGAGTCTGGGACTCACGATTCAGGGCTTTAGTTTCAGGGTTTTGGGCTTGAAGCTTAAGACTAAGAGTTTAGGGTTTAAGACTTAGGTGTTTCGATTGAGGGTTTGGAACCAGTGGGGTTGAGGGCTTGCGCATGTGGGGTTTTGGGGATTCATTGGGTTTAGTAAAGGGCTGAAGGAGCTTTAGAAGCAAGAAACAGGAGCAGAGAATTTAGCGGTTCAGGATTTCGACAAGAGGCTTGTAGACGAGGGTGCTTTAGTTCAAGCTGAAGGGGTTTGTGTTTATGTTCCTGTGTTCAGGATTTAGTAACTTAGTAATTTAGGTCTTACGGCTCAGGGTTTGCGAGGTACGGTTCCGAGTTCAGTGTTTCTGTCAAGGGGTTCAAGTGCATTGAATGCTGTGCTTTTAGGGACTTGGTTTGAAGCATACATATAGAGGAAGTTCATGTGACCTGGCCCGGTTCTTCCAAGACCTGCCGTGCAGGCCAGATAACACACAATGAACGGTTTTGGCAGGGTGACAAGAACCTCTCCGAAATGCGCATATTCAAGGCGCTTCGAATAGTCTACTTTACACATCCCAACCCCTACAGCGCTCCGAAAAGCTTGTCTAAGGAAACCGAGGAGGAGGATCCACCCTACACGCAAGTTGCGGCCTGAGCAAGTCTTAGGCGGACTGCTCGGCAGCCTGAGGCTGAAAGAGGTGGAGGGCCTCTCTAATCAGTGGCCCGGAGTTCATAAACTTTAGAGTTCATAGAGGGGCTACTATTTTGGGGGTTCCGGATTATAATTAGAGTATATCTACCCCAAGACCCTATTCGAAGTATAAAGGCCCCTACATTAGCGGATTGGGTTCTGCTTCGTGCCATTCGGCGCGTCAAGGCCTGGTGCATCAACGAACTACGGGAGCCTGCAGTCACAATCTCGAGCATGCAGCCCTGCACTGCAAGTAGAGAACTGAGCAGGTCCCGAAAAGGAGCAGTTTGCGGTTGCCGCACATACCGCGATAACGTCCCAGTCTCACGGATCTCGGTGGCTCTGCATTAAGGCCCCCGCGTTTCAGCAGCAACTGTGGCGATCTGTAAGCCTTTTCAGCCTCGGGGGTGACGGGAAACCAAGCACCCGACCTCAAAAGCAGGACATGCATTTAGTTTTTATAGAGCTATACAACAACGCCGGATGTAACAGCAGCTTCTTTAAAAGGTAAGGGCGCCTGTGCAGGCAACATGTCGTGGTATACCCAGATGCTGAAGTTTGGACGCAAACTTAGTTTGTGGTTTGCAGGGCTTTAGGGTTGCATGGCCTGCCTGCTGCAGGTGTCCTTCTTTTCTGACAGCAGCATGAAAGACACCAGCCAGACGTTGACGAGGACATATCAAGTTAGCGTTGGAGCACCCTGCAAACAAATCAGAGTAGACATGCCACAAGACGTGTGCAACAGGAGGAAGAGGATCAGCACTCTGTGGTACTTTGCCAGTAGTCTTAGAATTGTCGTCGCAGTCGCCTTTGCCGTCGCGGTCGGGTTCGGGGTCGTGCTCGTGGTCGTAGTGCTGGCGGCTCGGCATCTGCAGTGCAGATATTAAGAGCAAGCAAAGTCTTGACGGATGTCTTTGTGGTCGTAGTCGCAGTTGGCATACTTTGCGTCTTTATTATTATCGTTTATCGACTATTGTGTTGCATGCTATGGTAGTGCAACAGAGCACAAAGGTGGTTGGGTCATGGCTCGCTATGAAGGCTACAGAAAAGCGCTCCTCCACGAGACCGCGTAATTGCACGGCCTTGTTAGCTTGATCGACTGTCGGCTTTTCATTTCCAGAACTGCGTACAAAAGAGAGAGGGCCGGATCAAGAAGCCTTAATCGAGCCCGCGAAACGACCCAGAACTTCTTTAGGGAACTGAGCCTACAGTGGCTGTGGGTCACTGTGGGTACCATCCGATCCAACAAAGCGGGCATGCGCAATCGTGGCAAAGTTCAGACGATAACTTGACACACTAGTCAGAATATGAATGTTACACAAGCCTTGTGAATCCCTGTGAAAGCCTAGAGAAGTCCTGAGACCCGATGACGGTTTACGATCTTTGTAATTCCTGGACTCCCAACCCTAAATCCTACGTCTTTGTATCAAAGCTTGGGAATCTTCGGCCAGGAGACGAAATCCCACCATCCTACCGCTCTCGGCCTCCGGCACAACACCGGGCCAAGAGGTGATTTGGGCCACGCACTTTGCGGGATTCCGGATTAGGACGTCTAGCGGTCGGAATTGTCAGCACTAGTACTGGTACTCCTCAAAGATCCTCATTCAAATCCCTGGTTTTGTTGTTGCAGGTCTAATGTTCGGTACACAAGCTTGGATCTTGGGAGGATAGATTTGGTGGCTCGGTTGTGGCATTCCGGATTTATCGTTCGGGGGTTTGTAGGGATGAGGCTTCACCTGAACGTTATTCCTTTATTTGGGCAGTTTCTCTCCACTGCTGGGTCGTCAGTGCTGAAAGTTTGGAGTTTTTTTGGTATTGTGCTGCTGCTGCACCGTGACAAGGTCTAGGTAGTTTCAGGAGAGTGTTTCAACCCAAACATGCTAAAAGTGAATCCTGCAGATCTAAATGCACTCTGGAACACTGCAGCTGAACATTTCGCCAACTCCCAGCTCACATTCCGAAAGCTTTCAATCCCAAGCCCTGCGATCTACCTATCTATTCATCTCTATTCTCCTCTATTCATCTATCTATCTATCTATCTGTCTATCTATTTATTTATCTATCTATCTATGCTATCTATCCTGTCTAGCTACCTATCTATCTTTCTATCTATCTATTCTTATCTATTCTTGTCTAGTCTAGTCTTGTCTTGTCTCATCTTGTCTTGTCTTATCTTATCCTTTTTAATCTTATCTTATCTTGTTTGATCTGATCTTATCTTATCTAACCTAACCTGATCTTGTCTTATGTAGTCCAATAATATCTTGTTCTAATCCTATCTAATCTTATCTTATCTAATCCATCTATCTGTCCATCCAGCCATCTGTCTATCGATCTATCTATCCATCTGTCTCTATCTAGCTCTTTATCTACTTATCCATTTATTTATCTAGCTAGCTAGCTGGCCATTTTGCAGGCTTTGTCGCATTTGGGTCTAGAAATGGCGTTTCGGTTCAGGGTTCAGGGCTTATAGGGTAAAGTTCTGTAAGGGTTCGTACACTCATGCAAGAAGTCGTTGCAAGGTTCGCCTGGTAAACTCAACCTTTAGCTACAATTCGCGGGCAATAGCCAGGCAGACGCGACTTCGAACGAATCTTCAGCACTGTCTGAGACCGTTTATACATGGGGCAAATTTGTTCTGGTCGCTTGGCTGGACAGTGAAACCCCTGGACCCTCAACCTTGAACAGTCTTCGAGTAAGTTGCATAGCGGATCTCTCAAGGGTCAGTACGATCTGGGGCTTACCCATTGTATTAGAATCTACAAGAAATACACCCATTCTGAAAACATTTTCGTCGGTTGCCTTAACCAGTACGCTTATGGGGGGCCGTATTATAAGAGTATACTCATAGCCGATTATCATCAGTAACCCTCAGGAAGACGTTGCGAGTTCCTGCCTGGATGTTCCCTTTGTTTGTATCTAGTACGCTAAACCCTAATTAAACCCTACACACCAAAAACCCTCAACCCTGAAACGCTAAAGCATTAAACCCCTAAAGCCCTAAAGCCCTAGCCTCTAAATCTTTTCAGCTGGCCTCAATCCGCCGGTGCAGCTTCCTAGTCAAGTCATGTAGCGTTTCTACATCTCGGCAGAGAGCTGATTTCAGTTCCTTAGACTGGGCGGGAATCGCTTAGTAATTACTCCGGCTATCCCGTTAATAGACCCAAGGTCTGGCTATGCATGATCCTGATCGTCGCGTTACGTGGTGGGCATGGTCATTCCATCGTGTCGATCAGCAGTTGCTCATGGGAGTACTGGCTCGCGTCTTGGCTCATTTTGCATGGGTGTAGGGGTTCAGAGTTTGAAAGTTCAGGGCTTTGAAACCGAGGGCCTTGCCATGAGGCTTGGTGTCTGAAGTCTTGAAAAACTTCGAGTGCTACACCGAGACGTGAAACTCCCGTCCCGTCCTTACATTGCATAGGAATCTCCGGTAACAGCTCGCACTAAGTGTTGTCTGGGCAAATGCCCCGAAGCAAGGCCCTCAGTCGTCAAACTCACAAACAGCCTTACGTGATAAGTAAGGGAGAAGAACAAGAGGACGTAGTTGCACGTTTGAGACTCGAGCCACCCGACGCTGTGCGGAAAGTGCGGTCTCCACAGAAGCCCAGCATGTCAGCGCCATCTTCCAAAGTCCTGGAACGATTCGACTGCAAGCTAGAAATCCAAAGGCCCATGCCGTGACACCCCTCAACTCTGTGAGCTCCTAACCCCTTAAACCCCAGGTCACCGGCATCGGATTTCTGGTGCTCATCCTCTTTGGGGCGTTAGCACAAAGACCAGAGGCATGCCGATGTCTGAATCATCAAGTATTGCGACGAAGGCTTCAGTGTTTGGGGCTTGCGGAAGGTTAATTGTGAGTTTCTTCGAGGGCGTGTAAAGGAGTCAAGTACCGCCTCGGGACCCCAAATTTGTTGGGTTTTGGGAGACGAAGCAAGGGCCTAGCGGCGTTTCCTGTTTTCAACCCCAAATCCCCAAAAACTCCAAAACGCGGAGCATTTTGTCACTCCTGTGCTTTCCCTATATGCCAGAATGACAAAACGGTATTGTAGTTTTAGGGCTTGGAAAACTCCAAAATGCAGGCCATTTTGTCACTCCTGTGCGGTCCCTATATGCCTCTCTGCAAGCCCAGCAACGGCCCCCGCGGGAATGACAAAACGGCCCTGGTTTTGCTGCTTTTAGGCTTCGAAAACCTCAAAACGCGGGCCATTCTGTCACTCCTATGCGGTCCCTAAAGGCCTTCTGCAAGCCCAGCAACGGCACCCGCGAGAATGACAAAACGGCCCTGGTTTTTGTGGTTTCAGGGCTTGGGAAACTCCAAAAAACAAGCCATTTGGTCTCTGCAAGCCCAGCAACGGCACCTGCGAGAATGACGAAACCTTCGAAAACTTCAAAATGCATCACTCCCACGCAGCCCTGGGCCTCCCGCCCAGCAACCGCAACTGACAAAAGGGCCCTTGCTTTGCGCCCGTTCCATGCGGGCCCTGTGCATGCCCAGCAGCCGAATGACAAAACGGCCATGGTTGTGCGGCCGTAAGGCTTCGGGAACTCCGAAAGGCAGATTATTTTGTCACTCCCACGCAGGCCCTGTGCCTCCGAGCAAGCCCAGCAACCGGAAACGCGGGGACTTTCTAACGCTGCTGTCTGCTGTTTCATTTGGAGCCGAACCCTTCCCCCGATAGGCCCGATATGTCAATGAAAAGATCCAGTCGAAATTTCTCGATTCGAAGAGTGCTGGCGTTCAGTACGGCTACAGCTCTTGTACAGGGCAGCACGGCAAGGGTGGTGTCGATTGTGCTGGGCGTAGGTCATATTCTGCGCTTTTCGGTTGCGCTTCTTGGACCCCTTGTGCTCTATCATGCGTTGCTGCCCAGTGCTTATCGTGGTTAACGGGTTCCTTGTCAGGGTTAAAAATACCAGGCCCTTATCATGGTTACAGCACCTCCTCCGCAGAAACAGGATCCTTGGCTGTTGCCAAGCTTCCACCGGTACCTGCAGCAACGAGATAGTCTCGCCATACGCACACCTCAATACGTTAGTATCAATGTTGCTCTTTGGACGGGCTAAAGACTCTCGCAGAGGCCCTGTACAGCCCTGAATCCAAAGAGACCTCACTCTGATCTCCAATAGATCCCTAACCTGAAAGAACTAGACTCTCCCGAAACCAGACCCCCAAAGCGCCAGCCGCTAAACCCCGACCTATGCCCACAGAACCTTAAGTGCCAAGAGGAACCCCTGCTACACTCCAAGACTAGGAGGATCTACTGCCGACGACGAGGCATTGGAACTCGAACAGATTGAGCCGCGAATCACTAAAGCCGAAATACGTAAAATTGTCAAAGTTATTGTCATCTTTTCCTTTCTGGACTTAAATAAACAAATGCAAGATCATAAAAAGCATACGAAACCCCCACACCTCCGAACAGGCTCCATGGTATATGTGCCTCGTTGTGGGAGCCCTGAGTGCCGTCGTCGGCATTGGCGGAGCGATCGTCCTAAACCCGATGATGGTGAAGAGGGGCATCGAGGTGCAATGGGTTTAGGGTGTATGTAGGGGTGTAGTGGCTAAGGCTGGAGTCTTACATAGATGGCTTTGGATCCGCAGGGTTCAGCCGAGGCTCTGTTATAATGGCCATGTCTTTTAGGAAGCGCCTGATACTTGAGGCTTAGTGGCTTAAAGCGTCCTGTGTGTAGAAGAACCAAAAGAAGCCAAGCTGATCAAGAGTCTTCAACAAAGCAGCGACGACGGCTCGCAGTTTCGTAAGTTTGCAGTCTGCGGGACCTCACCCCCGTTAGCTCTTGGCGTCAGCTTCCAGTTCGGAGGCGTCATGCAGGGCCAGTGGTCCCCGGCTCTTCTGCAGGGTCGCGAGGTTACAGTCTCAAGCACCGAGACAGCATAGACAACTTGAGTCACAATCCCAAAACACTAAACCAACAGGCACGAAGCTGCAACCCAAACCTGAACTGTCCGGTTGCTTCAGAACACAGGCAGCCCAAAGTCTGATTCGGAAATTTGCAGGTGCCTGCTGCCACTGCCACAGCATCGTTGCCGCTGGGCAGGGGCAGTCTGGGAAGGTTTGCGGGTTTCGGGGCGTGTCGAATGTAGTCTTCTAGGATCCAACCCTAGTCCCAGACTTTTCAGCCACATCTCAGAAGCCATGCTTCGCCGACCCAGCATTGTGTAATGACGGGAAGGCAAACGAAGGAGGGGCCGCCGGTTTCCAGACGACAGGTCGGCTTCCCTTTCCGATGGCTACACCAGAAAGCATGGGCATTGCGCACTTCTTGGCAAATTCATCTCCTCAGTTCTGCCTTTGCTCATCCTGTTCAAGGTTGAGCTTCCGTTTCTATGACAGAGCTGAGTCGACTCTGCCACGGCACGGCAAGGCGAGGAAGAGTATGGTGCACCAGAACCCGCACAGAAAGCAAAGGCAGCAGTAGGAAGAATCGGCTCTTTTCCTGAAGCCACGGCGCGTCGCTCGACTCTGCATCATACTCTCCAACTCCGGTTGTGTGGCGTCGGTTTCTATTGGTGAGGATGAGGATCCGATCAGGATGAGGAGAATGATGAAGATTGGTGATCGTAGGATCATGAGAATGAAGTTGGTGAATATGTTTTTCATCACTGTGTTTGTGATGGTGCTGGTAGCGGCGAGGAGTGTTGATGCAGTGTTGTACCCATGATCGCCCTCTTGTGTCTACATTGAGCAAGGATGGTGCTGGTCATGAGCTCGTGCAGTACCTCGCTCTTCGTTCTGGGTGGCTTCGTGCCGCTGCTGGCCTTCATAAAGTCCGATTTGCAGAGCTTCATGTCGCTTGTTGAGGTACCTGAAGCCCACGGAAACACAAGTCCTTCAAGGGAGTATCCCTTCGGTTCGAAAAGTAGATGCAGCTTCTTCGTTTTGTTTGTGGTTTCTGACGCCCTTGCCTTGATAACTCCCAGTGCCGCCTAAAGCAGCTCTGTGTCAAATACAGAAGCCTGAGTAAAGGCCAAAAATGATTCCTTTTGGTTGCGTACACTAAATCGTACAGTAAAAATTCCCCAATAATATACCCGCAAACCCTGGTCTAATGATTCAGGCCTCGACATCTCAGCTTAATTCCAGTTATTCTGTCCACATTGGTTGCGTTCTGTTTGCAATCAGCTTTATGCATACATCTATATACATAATATTTGCATATGTACAGCTTGTGGTAGAGTCTCGGTGGGGCCAGGCTGCAGGATACAGAGTACCCGAGTGTGAGGCCTTCACCCTGGCCTTCTGGATATTTGTCCTGTAGGTTTTCCGGCGTGCATGCCCTGCAGGCTGTACAGGATTGGATGTTGCATAGGTCTCCGATGCAGATACCGACTGGAAACCCAAATCCTAAGCTGGATCGAAACCCAACACCATGCAAGTCAGCTAGTAAGTCACTCCTTCAACGAACTCGTCGCTGGCTACTCGCCGATTCACTTACACTTCTACAAGCCTTAGCCTTGATCTAGAGGATTTTGGACAAGATTTTGCCTTGTTGTCTGAGGCTGCTGCCGGCAGTTACATTCGGCATCGCATCCTTCCTGGGATCTTTGTGTGGAAAGACGCTGCCTGGCTCAATGCCCTGGAGTCTTCCAGCCAACCTTGGATTTCTGGAAGTCGTCGACCTATTCCGTGGAAGCCGTGATGGTGTTGTGGGGTGTTTTAGGGTGGGTCATGAGGACATGTTGAGAGCTGTGGAATTTGGGTGCCAGACGACAGGGTGGTGAGCGTTCTCGTCAGCTGGACCGGTCGAACGTCCTTGCTGGTCATCCTGCTGCTCGGCTGTGCTTCACTACCGCTTGGAGTTGAATTTGGTATCGGGATGAGGTTCAGGACAAGTTTAGGGATCTATCGCGTGGGGTTCAGGGTTCAGCTGCAGATAGCCGCAATAGGAGGAACGTACATTTGCAAGTAGTGGAGCCCACAGCTGCCAGAAAAGAGTCGTAGTTTGAGAGTCCACACCATATGCCCCGATCCCAAACGAATTCCTAGGTCGCAAGTGATCCTTTGTTCAGCGGACCTCCTGAAACTCGCACAACCTGAACTCTTAGTGTCCGTGAATAGATCGTGGCCATTGTCCTCAACACACATGTTGTGGAGAGCAGAAGCTACAAAAACAGTGTGGTATGCCTATTTTAGTAAGCTCTGCTTACTGCACACACCTTCTGCCTAAGTACATGCAGGCATAGGCACATGACCGCGAGTCTTTACGTGTATGTATGTATGTATGTATGTATGTATGTATGTATGTATGTATGTATGTATGTAGGCATGTAGGTATGCAGGTATGTAGGTCTATGTACATGTACATGTACATGTACATGTATATGTATGTATATGTATGTATATGTATATGTATATGTATATGTATATGTATATGTACATGTACATGTACATGCACATGTACATGTACATGTGTCTGTATCTGTATTTGAATCTGAATCTGTATATGTATTTGTATATGTATATGTATATGCAGATGTAGATGTAGATGTAGATGTAGATGTAGAGGTAGAGGTAGAGGTAGAGGTAGAGGTTGACGACGATGGCAGCAACACAGCCAAGGCTTTCAATCTTTATCGCGGTGTCCGGCGTCACGGTGTGACCCGACTTGGTTTGTTGCGCTTGAGGGGTGTTCGGGCACTGCTGTGCAGTGATTATAAGGATATTTGGCACTGGTTGCCCAAAGCCTATATGTCATTCAGACTTCCTTCACCCTGACAACTAAAAAGCATGTGCTGAGCGGCCTTGTGGATTCTTAGTACTCTACGCAATGAGGTACCCAAGTAAAGCACCCCGAAGCATGCTAGCATCAGCTTTCCTTCATGACACTGCTCATTTTGAAATCTTCCGTAAAGCCAGTGCTTATGTATGTGGAGTACCTCCAGCACGTTTGCTTAGATGTGCCGACCAGCCTCGTTCCGTCAATGGCCTTCAACCCTGGCAAGCCTCATATTTCCATAGTCCTGAAACCCCAAACCGTGCCGGAAAGTCCTAAACCCACACAGGCCTGAGCAACAAAACTATCCATCGAGGTTCTGCCAGGGCGTGCTGCAAACCGTTGAAGACTTCCGCAAAGGCGAAAACCCGCTTACTGACTGGCATCTGCCCTGTTAAGGTTCAGAGTTTGAGAGGATTACATAGCTTAAAGGGGTTGGGGCTATACTGTGAGCAATGCCTCGCACGACTAGTCGTAACCAGGAGGGTTCTGGCACGGTTCTCTCTTAGCGTTTTTAGGTTGTGGGAACGGTGTGAAGGGTAGGGTTTTCGGGTTTAGGGTCCCGTTAAGATGGTGTTTAAGCATCCTTCTTGGGGTGTCCTTGTTAGTGTTCGGCTTCTGTATTGGGGCTACTTGATGAAAGTAGCTCTGACGCCACAATATGTACAACTTTGAGTGGTACTTCGGCTGAAGATCAGAACACTTGAACCAAGAGTTTGGGTTCCGTGGCTGTCTATGAGCCTGAAGAAGCACGGCATTTAGGGAGAGCGTGATATTCCGCTGACCCGGTTTGAAACTATGCAGACCCCCAGACTATGAGTTGAAACACATGGGGTTTGGTGCTCACAATAATGGAAGCCTGAATAGTTTGTCAGGGCTATTCTTTAGGCTCCCTTGTTATGATAATGATGTCGCAATATGCCCCAAAATCCCATTCCAAGTGTTCAGGCCCCTACGTTATAGGGGGCTTCAGCTTCGATTTTGGGACCCTCGACCTTCGTCTCGGGCTTTGCCAGCTCCAGATGCAGTCGAATTCCGTGGGCCCGGTTGGGGACCACTCCTGTACAGCTGCACGGCGGAAACAAAGCCAGGACCCCCCAAGGGCCCTTTAATGGAGCCCTTATGGTCCCTAATAGTAGGTATTTGGGGTATAATAGAGGGTAGTTGGGGGGTCTAGGAGCTCCTGTACAGCTGCACGGCGGAAAGAAAGCACAGCAGCTGCATCCCCGCTTGCGGCCTTTGATAGCTTGATGAGTTTTCGTGCATGCAGCAGTGGTTCCCAAGTTAGTTACGATTCTCCTTGGACTACACACACCAAAAACCTCATCAAATTGAAAACTGGCAGGCTGGAGACAAACAAACGTCTACGTAGAATGGGAAGTAAAGTTAACAAAGGCGTGAAATGGCTGCTAGAGGCCACGTGAAAGGACTTCGTGTTAAACGAGTTTCGTTAACACGTGGCCGCACGTTAACACGGCAAGCCCACGTAGTTTGAAGTTTGAAACTGATCAGCGCGACGGTGTTCAGGCCCGGGTACACCGACATATCCGATAATCCTGGAATCTGCTTCGAATTCTAAGTCTAGCCAATAAGCCGATTTCAGGCATTTGATCTGCACCTCAGGGGATGTGGCTCTTATTCATTCTGACACTGTACAGAGGCTGTTCCACCTTGTGGTGGCAGTGTTCAAGATTCTGCGGCAATACACAAGCTTTGCTGCACAGCGCATCTTTGCTGACTAGATCGCTGACCTTGAGCTTCACGCGTCCTTATGAGGAAAGAGTCCTTTCTTGAGAACCTCTCGTTGGGTTTAGGGCTTCGTGCGCTGAGCTTGTTCATGATGCAGGTGACCGTGATCGTGGTGGTGATGATGGTCATGGCCAGGGTCACGGCCACGGTGTTGAGCGTGGTGATGACGATCATCACCAGGATAATTGCCATGGTAGTGATGATGCTGAGCGTGGTGATGGTGACCATGGAAGTTGGCATGGAGATTATGATGATGATGCTGATGAAGAGGAGGAGCAGCAGGAGGAGCAGGACGAGCCGAAGGAGGAGGAGGAGGAGGAGGAGGAGGAGGAGGAGGAGTTTGACCATGGTGCGACCACTTGACGGTAACCGCGAGAATAGAAGTGATAGCCACAGTTGACATGATAGTCCCCGGCCCGTTGCTTTTGCTGATTGCGTTTTCGATTCTTGTTTAGCTGTCCGTATCCTGTCGTGTCCGAGGATTGACCGAGAACTTCTGCGGTAGAGAACAAGAGTGCCTGCACTCAGATGCTGGGTCGCGATGGATTCCATTGCGGTCGCGCTAAGTTACCCGGTTTTTGTCGGGTAGACTGCGCAAGCAAAATCGTTTCTGTGGGAGTGGACCCCTTGCAGCTTCTCGAATGTAGGACGTAGCGACTACCAGATCATGCAATCACCTCAGATATCCAAGAGCACAGGCAGGAGCCGCAGTCACAAATAGTCTCAAAGAACGGGCACGTTGTTTTATTGCGACAGTGGTGGCGCAGATGGGATCGATATGGTTCCAGGGTGCGGGAATCCCAGAAGCATACTTTCCATGAGTTGATAGCCCCAGTCTGCCAGCTACCATGAAACACTTGAAAGCAAGAGCAGAAAATGTGCAATCGCGCCGCTGCAATGATGTGCGGAGTCCAGCAAGCCTTCGAGCTCTGTCACGTCTGCAACGGATTATGCATGCCGCGTGGAAGTTCCAGCATATCGTCGTCGCTTCTGAACGGCGATTCACCACGCCAAGGCTTGAACTCGTGCACCCTTATCGGTGTCTTACTTGGCTCACAGCATGGGCTTTTGATCGAGAGATCTGGCGTATTGTAGCCAAAAGTGGGTGCAGGTCACACTCACATAGCGACTCTACAACTCTTTTAAGTGTATCTACATCTGCCTTGCGGGCGGCAGGGTGTCATGCTGAGCTTTCAGTGAATTGTGGTCGCCTTCAGTTTCACGGTCGGGTGGGGATGTCATTCGACCAGCGCAGCGTTGATGGACAAGTCTTGTCTGATGGAGCGACATCCGTCATGCTGAGGCGTCTGCCCTCTAAGCTGACGGCTGCAAGCTTTGTGGAGATCTTGGACCAGTTCTGGCCGGGTTGCTATGACTTTGTGTATGTCCCCCACGACCGGGCTAAGTCCAGGAATGTGGCTCTGGCCTTTGTGAACTTCACGGATCACAGGACGGCACAGGCTGCATATGCATACTTCAAGGCGTCACGCAAGGATGCGAGGGGCTGTTTGGGGTCCCACATCCGTGTCGCCAAGGCAGACGTCCAGGGCCTGGGCGCAAACCTGGCGTATTTTATCGCCAAGAACGGCTTTGCTGGCATGGAGCATCCCCACGCCCCCCAAGTTTTTGAACGTGGCTGCTGCATCAGTTTGATTGAAGCTGCGAAGACATACGTGACCATGCAACTGCTGGCAGAGGCGAAAGAGTCCATTGACATGAACGCAGTCGGACAGGATCGGGCTTGGCAGAAATCCGTCGTGAGGAGAAAGTCACGGCCGGGAGATGCTGGCAAAGCAATTACCAGATCGCCAGGCAAGTCTGCATTTCTTTCGAAGGTGCAGCAAGCCAGAAAGGCTGAGTTCTTGGACACGAGGGATGGCAGTAGCGCTTACTCGATGATCTGGGGGGCTTCAGACGACGAAAAGACCGATCGCGGCGAACGGAGCGTTTCAAGCCCTCCGGTGCAAGGAGACCAGTGGAGCTTGCAGGAGCATCTCGAACTGTTCAATACTGGTGCCTCTGAGGAAAGGCAGGTCCTCTACGAGGTCCAGCAAGATGGCTCGATCTGCTTCTTCCTGTAGTTCACTGATTTCCGAGCAGGTGTCACCAGTGAGCTTCTGAGGCGCGGGTAATTTGACCAGGGGGCAATGGGCAAGAGCGCAGATGAAGGCAAACTGCTCCGGTCCCTGGCTGCGAAACGATTCGATGCGCTGACAGTATGTTCCTGTGTTCGAAGTTTTGCCTGGATCGACTTCTGAGCGCCTGCTGTTCCTCCATCCTCGCCAGACGGAGGCTTTCCAATTTTTCTTTACCCAATGCAATCATTGCGAGTTCAAAGAACTTCTTGATGCAAGAACTTTTTGTAACTTTTTGTCCCAAAGCATAGATGCTGGGTGCCCGCAATCTTCCATTGAGGTCATGCTGAGTTCTTTCCCCCGTTTTTGGAGGGCAAGTCACTAAAGACGACGTGGAGGAGCAGCCCTGGCACATATCTGAAAGCCTGAAAGCGGATAAAAGGCTGAGGGATATTCGGGTGTTGACAGAACAGTGTTGCAGAGGCATCTGAGAGTGCCGAGGCCCAGGCCGTCACAAGGAGTTTGGGCTTCAATTCTCATTCTGATGTTTAGAGTTCGTTGTTTTGTCGGATTGCCGAAAGCGCGGATGGCTTAGGTTGTTGCAGAGCTGATGCCAGATCGGCCGCTTCGAGATCTGGCTTGAGCCATATTGCGAAGAAGTGCAACATCTCGTGCCCCTTAAACATGTTAGCCTGTTAGCACCTTAGCACAGACCCTCTGAGCCCGCTCATCTCAGACGACATAAGAGGAATCGCCGGATCGATACAGGACAAAGATGACAAAGTACCGCAGAGGATCCTCACACTTCAGAAACCCTAAAGGCCCCTGAAATCGTCGGTCATCCCCAAAACCCTAAACCCAAACCCTAACCCTAAACCCTAAACCCTAAACCCTAAACCCTAAACCCTAAACCCTAAACCCTAAACCCTAAACCCTAAACCCTAAACCCAAACCCTAGCTTTGAAGATTCTCCAAGCCCCCCCCGGGGATCCAGACCCAGAGTGCGACTGATGCCTTGCTGGGCGCGAAGAGCCATGACTTATGTCGCTACCTGCGACGCGAGGGGCAGCGGAGCTGCAACGGTTTTCGGGATGAGGGTTCAGCGTTTAGGGAATTCAGAGTTTTAGGGTTTTGGGTTGAATTGTAGGGCTCGGGGTTGGGGTTTCAGTCTGCTCCGAGTTCGATTTCCTGCCAGTTTGGTATGTTTTCATGTCGGTGTTTCGGAGCTTTTAGAGCCAAATAGGGATACACTATGATCGAGGGGTTCTACTAGTAACGGTCCGAAGGCTTTTCGTGTATACATAGGGGGATTTCAGGGGTCCGAGGCTACTATAGTTGGGGCGTGTGGGGCTGCGGGCCTCTGAGACGCGGGAGCATGGTTGAATCTATGGTTCTCAGAAGAAAGGCTCAGCAAAAGCTTCAAAATTTTTAAGACTAGACTTCTAGACTGCTAGACAGGCTTGATTCTAACCCTAGCGCAGGCCCGAAACTGGAGGCTTTGCATGAAAGCGATCAGGCTTTCGGGAAGAGGCGTTGCCATCAGCATCCGTGTCCACAAGCTGGGAAGAACCTCTCAGAACTCTTGCTGTCTTATTGACAGCCCTATGTAAACCCAACAATTTCAAGTGTTCGTCTCTCCAGCCAATGCGCTAAACCCAAGAGTGCCCCAATCTGGACCTAGCATGGTAGCCTTATTGTTCTTCTTCTTCTTAAAAAAACTTCTGATAGTTACTAATTGGGACTATATTATTGTTATTACTACAAGTAGTAGTAGTAGTAGTAGTAGTAGTAGTAGGAGGAGTAGGAGTAGGAGTAGGGCCCCCCATCCCCCACCAAGCACCTCTGCTACAAACCCTCTGAACAGCACATCCGTTTTACTCGGTATTTACGGTACGTTCGTCGTGTCTTCTTCTTGCTTCAAAATCCACTCCTGGATTTTGGAAAAATTGCGCTTCGGATTGGGTGGGGGGGGTGGGGGGGTGGGCGGGATGATGACGACATTGTTACGCAGACACCCCGAACAACATCTCCACAAGAGCCGTTTTTTTCGGTATTTACAGTACTTTCGTGATATCGGACCCTCTTATATAATCACCAAACCTACTTCTGCACTGGAACTTTCGGCGAAAACTCGAAATTGGGTGGGGGCAAGCTTTTTCGGTGGATGATCACGACACTGTTGCGCGGACACCCCGAGCAATATCTCCACGTCAAGCGCGCGCACACCACAGAGTACTTCAAAGGCAAACCCGCCTACGCCGAGGTCGGGGCTTTAGGGGTGTTGGCGAGCTCCCCCCACGTACAGCTGGCATTTTTTTGA